CCTTCTGGGCAGGGTGTGTCAGCTCCTTGGCCGCCTGCCTAGGAATGCCATAAAATCAACAGATCAATGAAACGGCTGTAAATGTCGGCATAGTCTGCAGAAATGATTCAGGGTTGGAGCCCGTGACCTTTACTAATAGACTGAGGGATTTGGGCTTGTTCAGTCTGCAGAGGAGAAGAGTGAGGGGGGAGTTGAGAGCAGCCTGCAACTCCCTGAAGGGGGTTCCAAAGAGGTTGTAGAGAGGCTGTTCTCAGTGGGGGCAGGTGGCAGAACAAGGAGCAATGGGCTCAAGTTGCAGCGGGGGAGGTCTAGGTTGGATAGTAGGAAAAACCATTTCACTAGGAGGGTGGTGAAGCACTGGAATGGGTTACCTAGGGAGGTGGTGGAAACTCCATCCCTAGAGGTTTTTAAGTCCTGGCTTGACAAAGCCCTGGCTGGGATGATTGAGTTGGCATTAGTCCTGCTTTAGGCAGGGGGCTGGACTCAATGAATGCCTGATTCTATGCTGGGGGGGAGCCTGGCCTTCAGCTGCTCCCCCTCCAGCCTGGTTGAGGGAGGGGGGACTCTGACTCCAGCTCCCTGCCCCCTCCAGTTGGTCTGTAGCCAGCCATGATTCTAACCTCTCCTGGAGGGGGGACGGTGGCAGGATGTGCTGCCCGGCCCCTGGGGTAATCCCAGCAGGGTGCAGTTGTGGGACCAGCCAGTGAAGAGTCTCCCCTCCCCCTATCCAGCACAGTTGGGGGTAGGAGGTGGCTGGGAATGTGGCCCCAGCAGCTAGTGTTGCCACCCCCCTGTGGTCACTCTGCAGGATAGCTGTCCCTAAAATCAGCCGCCTCCTTTTCCATGTTATGGAAGCAATCCCATTATCCTGGCACAACCAAACCCTGACCTTGCTTTTAAGTTAGGATAAGAGGAATCTGCAGTTTAGTGGTCCTTGCTCTTACAATTTAGGAGGAGTTCTTGAACAAACAGACTCACAGGCAGATACACCAGCTCTCTAAAATATGTATAGTGATAGTACTATAGTAAATGAAACAATGAATTCTCACTATTGTGGTTCTTGAGCTAGTCTCAGAGGGCAGGTCTAAACTACATTCCTCTTTCGAAAGAGGAATGTAAATGAGGCTGATCAAAAATTCAAAAGATGTGTGGATTTACAAATCTTGCACTTCATTTGCATAGTAGCTGAGAGTGCTCCTTTGAAGAAGGGTTTTTCGAAAAAGAAACTGCAGTCTAGATGGGATTCTTTTGGGGGGAAAACCCCCTCATTTTTTCAGCTGTAATTTATCCCTAAATGTTTTCTAAGAGCCCAGTAAGCAGTGGAAGTCTTGATAATACTGCTAGATGATATTGACCTTCCAATATTGACCTCCTTGGTTCGGCAAATTCTCAGATATGGTATTAGTCAGGTCCCAAAGGTGCTGGGCTGGAGAGGTTCAACCTGTACCTTTATCTGTTAAATTTAAAATCCCTCTGTTATAAAATTTTTGCTCCCCATGTAGGATGATATCGTCCACAATCAAGTCACCCCTTAACCTTTTCTTTGTTAAGAAGAACAGTCTGTTCAGTTTGAGTCTTTCACTACAATCCCCAGCTTTTCACTGAACCCTCTCCAGGGTATCAACTTCTGTCTTGAATTGTGGACAAGAGAACTAAACACAGCCTCATATGCCCTTAAATGAACAACTATGTTAACTTCACCTCCATCTAAAACAAAGGAGGGCTTGGCAATGATTTTAACTAATTCCACAATTTTGATAGATTGATTTAAACTGTAAATGCC